ATGTGGATGGATTTACATCTGGGTTCTCAATTCTGTTCCATTGGTCAATGTATCTGTCGTTGTACCAGTACCAGGCTGTTTTGACTACCGTAGCTGTATAGTAGGCTCTGAGGTCAGGTAGTGTGAGTCCTCCAACTTTATTCTTCTTCTTTAATAGTGCTTTACTTATCTGGGGCCTCTTCCCTTTCCATATAAAGTTAATGATTAGTTTTTCCATCTCTTTAAAGAATGCAATTGGTATTTGGATCGGGTTGTATTGTATTTGTAGATTGCTTTGGGTAGAATTAACATTTTCACAATGTTGAGTCTACCTATCCATGAGCATGATATGTTTTTCCGTTTATGTAGATCTCTTGGTTTCTTGCAGTAGTTTTTTGTAGTTTTCTTTGTATATGTTTTTTACATCCCGGATTAGATTTATTCCTAAGTATTTTGTATTTTTAGAGGCTATTGTAAATGGGATTGTTTTCCTGATTTCATCATTCTCTTTATTGGTATATAGGAATCCAGCTGATTTTTGTATGTTTAGCTTGCTTGTATCCTGCTACTGTGCTGAATCTTTCTATTAGTTTCAATAGTTTTCTCATGGAGTCTTTTGGGTTTTCTATGTATAGTATCATATCATCTGCGAACAGGGACAGTTTTACTTTTTCCTTACCAATCTGGATGCCCTTTCTTTCTTTTCTTGCCTTATTGCTCTAGCTAGGACTTCCAGCACAATGTTAAATAGGAGTGGTGATAACGGGCATCCTTATCTTGTTCCTGTTCTCAAGGGAAATGTTTTCAGCCTCTCTCCATTAAGAATGGTATTGGCTGTTGCTTTTGTATAGAGGCCTTTTATTATATTGAGGAATTTTCCTTCTGTACCTATTTTATTGAGAGTTTTTATCAAGAATGGGTGTTGGACTTTGTCAAATGCCTTTTCTGCATTGATTGAGATGATCATGTGATTCTTTAATTTTATTTATGTGGTGGATTACGTTGATTGATTTTCCTAATGTTGAACCATCCTTGCATACCTGGTATGAATTCTGCTTGGTCACAGTGTACTATTTTTTTGATATGATACTGAGTTCTATTGGCTAGAATTTTGTTGAGAATTTTTGCATCTGTATTCATGAGAGATATTGGTCTGTAATTTTCTTTTTTTGTGGTGTCTTTGCTTGGTTTTGGTATCAGGGTTATGCCTACTTCATAGAATGAATTCGGAAGTATCCCTTCCTTTTCTGTGTTCTGAAATAGTTTGAGTAGTAGTGGTGTAAGCTCTTCTGTGAATATTTAGTAGACTCCTCCAGTGAAGCCGTCTGGGCCAGGGCTTTTGTTGGTTTTTTTTTTTTTTTTTTTTTTAATTACCTTTTCAATCTTTTCTCTCGTTATGGGTCTATTGAGATTCTCAACATCAGTTTATAGTTTGGATAGGTAGTGTGCTTCTAGAAATTTGTCCATTTCCTCTAGGTTTTCAAATTTGTTGGAGTATACTTTTTCATAGTACTCTGTTATGGTGCTTTTTATTTCAGTTGGGTCTGTTGTACTATCCCCTTCATTTCTTTTTTGGGTTATTTGCATCCTCTTCTGTTTTTCTTTTGTCAGTTTGGCCAGTGGTTTGTCAATTTTGTTGATCCTTTTAAAGAACAAACTTTTGGTTTTGTTGATTCTTTCTATTGTTTTTCTACTGTCTATTTCAATTATTGCTGCTCTGATCTTTATCATTTCCTTTCTTCTGGTGGCTGTGGGCTTCTTTTGCTGTTCTGTATTTGTTTGTGTGGTTAATGTTCTGATTTTTGTCCCTTTCTTCTTTTTTGACGTGTGCCTCTAGTGCTATAAATTGACCTCTGAGCACTGCCTTTTCTGTGCCCCAAGGTTTTTGTATGATGTGTTTTCATGCTCATTTGATTCTAGGGATTTTTTTATTCCACCTTTGATTTCTTCTATTATCCAGTGATTTTTTAGTAGGGTGTTATTCCGTCTCCATGTATTTGATTTTCTTTCCTTGCCCTTCCTATTGTTAATTTCTGTTTTGATAACGTTGTGATCAGAGAAGATGCTTTGTATTATTATCTCAGTGTTTTGGATTTTGTTGAGGGGTGCTTTGTGTCATAAGATGTAGTCTATTCTGGAAAATGTTCCTTGTGCATGGAAATGTGTACTTTGCAGCTGTTGGGTGGAGTGTTCTATATATGTCTATGAGGTCAAGTTGGCTGATTGTGGCTTTTAGATCTTCTGTATCTTTGTTGAGTTTCTTTCTTGATGTTCTGTCCTTTACCGAGAGTGATGTGTTGAAGTCTCCTACTATTATTGTGGAACTGCTACTTTCTCTTTTCGGTGCCATTAGAGTTTGCTTTATGTATTTTAGAGCCCTGTCATTGATTGCACAGGTATTTATTATGGTTATGTCTTCATGGTAGATTGTCCCTTTAATCATTATATAATGCCCTTCTTTGTCTTTTATGGTGGATTTTGTTTAAAAGTCTACTTTATCTGAGATTAGTATTGCCACTTCTACTCTTTTTTTGGTGGCTCTTTGCTTGATATATTTTTCCCATCCTTTGATTTTTAATAAATTTATGTCTGTTTCTAAAGTGTGTCGGAACTGACTCGACAGCAATGGGTTGTGTTGTTATTTGGCCCTTTTGAACACATGACAGTAAAGAACACATTTTTCTTGCCAAAGTATACATATTTGGGGGCTAGAGCTGCTCCCTTTGACATTTTGCATAAGAAAACATTTTGTTAGGCCCTGCCTGCATTGTAGCAGGCCCTGAAGATGAATTTTGTACAGATGAATATGTCCAGAAATTGAGATTGTTTCAGTCAAAAGTCTCACCTCCTTGTTCTGAGAACGAATTAGAGAGCCCCTAGAGCAGACAAGGGTGTGTAAGGTTAATTGCTGTCTATATAGATATCAATTTCCTTTTCAAAGGACCACCCAGTGGGATTTGCCACTTGTCAGTTTGTCTAAAAACTAGCTAAATGTGAGGGGTAGGGAGAGGGGAAGGCCCAATTTGGTTGTCAACCTAGTTGACCCTTTAGTTTTGGTTTAGGGAGAAAAAAACAGCTTTCGGCCCGTTCAGTTACTAAATAGCTGACTACACAGTTTTTTGGAGGCTTTGTTGTTGTTGCTGTTATTTTAATTTAAAAAATGGGAGCCTTAGTGATAAGACCCCCAGTCCACAATATGTGCTCAACTTGTAATACTACTTTCTTTCACTTCCTCTTTCAGATAGCAGTAGGCATAACATCAAGCCATAACTTTAAAATTAGATTAAATAATAAAACGAAACCCAAGATTCATTGAAAGTAACAAGGCAAATGTTAGATGATCATTCATTCATCAAGTAGTTAAAGCTTTTAATAATGTGGAAAATGATGGTTAAAGTGAGTGATGGCCTTTACTTCTAAGTGAGTGCAAAATAACCATTAATGTCAGAGAAGAAAGTAATACCAAAGTTCATTTTGAAGCTCAGACTAACAGATCAGGAGGGGAGAGTACAGGGCCATGTACAGGGTAATGAGGAAACTCTGACTTTGTCTTGACCGTGCAGCTTGGAAGCAAGTTACTTAACCTCTCTGAATCTCAGTTTCCTGATGATGTAAAATGAGGATGGTAAAACCAGCTATCACACAGGGCTTTTGTGGAAATGAAATGAGCTCATAGATCTGAAAATGTTTTGCAGCCAGGAAAATGCTGTAACAACGTATAGTATTATTGTGCTTGAATAATTCATTGAATACTCGTCCTACCTTACCTACCTCCCAAAGCCACTTCTCTAAGGATTAGCCAAAGTTACCTGCCCCCTTACCATCCTTAAAGTCTGCCTATCCCTATTGTTTTAGATTAGGATATTTTTCACTAATTAAATGAGATTTTTTCATATCTTCCATTTCAGAACCTGCCTATGCCTTCAGAATGGCTTTCTCTGACCCCAAATTATCATTGACTCGACGGCAATGGGTTTGGGTTTGCTTTTGTTTTTATATGAACAAGAAGCTCCCTGAGACCCTGAAGGGTAGAGGGATTGGGGTTGAAATATTATTCCATTTTCCCAAATATTTTTCTGTCTGTAATAGAAAAAGCAACTGTTTAATGAACACTTACTATATGCCAAGCACTGTACTATACATTATTTCATTTAATCCTCACACTAGTTAAATATATTTTGTACCATTATCAATACTTACAGATGAGAGGCCTATAACCAGAGTAATTCAGTAGCTTGGCCATTGTCACATACCTAGTAAGTGGCAGAGTCAGGATTTCAACCCAAACCTGCCTAATTCCATTCTCAGGCTTTTTCCATTTGCTGATTGATTACTTACCTCCTATGTTTCCACTAATTTTGCATGTCTGTGTTTGCCTTTCTATCTCTTTACAATTTCATCCTTGGTGTGCCTGTAATGAATAGAGTAGAATATGGGGCCTATAACAAAGATAACTAAGGTATGGTTCCTATGATTGTAGAACTATTATAATCCACTGGCAGATGATGACAAACTAATCACTATATCACATGGAAGAATTTAAGAGTTAAAGCATCAGTCTACTCACTTATAAAATGCGAATAATAAATACCGTATAAGGCTACGGTTATGATAAAGTGAAATGCATGTTCATTATTTAGCAAAGACTCTGACTCACAGTAAGTGCTCAGTATATGAAATCTGTAATGTTGCTGGACAGTCCCAAGGTAGTAACTAGGATATAAAGCTAGAAAAACAACTTGAAGCTAGATTTTGAGAGCGTTGGATGCTAGTCCAGAGAGTTTGGACCTTCTGCTTGTTAGAAACATTTGTACCAAGGTCAGAAATCATTCTGAAAAGAAATTAGAGCTGATGCTATTTTACATTACCTTTCAAATTTCATTGTTAGTGAGATGGAGTTGGTGGAAGCAGTTGGAACCAGTTTAAAGGAGTTTTGTATTTGATGTACTAAAAGGAAAGATGATATTTTCAAGTTTGATGCCCTTTATTTTTCCTTCCACAGTAATTAGTGAATGCCAAAGGCAGCAACTGGAGTCTGTGAGCTACTCCTCTCGCTACGCTCTGGGCCTCTTTTATGAAGCTGGCTCGAAGATTGACGTCCCCTGGGCTGGGCAGTACATCACCAGTAATCCCTGCATACGCTTCATCTCCATTGATAATAAGAAGCGCAATATAGGTCAGTACCCCCATTATTTCCCTTAAATACAGTAACAATGGTGGGTGTAGATCATGAAAAATCCTCTTTAATTGAGTGTTGCCATTCTGAAAGGAGCAAGCATTTAACTCTAAGCCACCAGGGATAAAACTTAATGTCGCATTTGGCCAATAATAAAATACACAGTAAAACCAGGAAAGTTTTTCAGAAAATCATTCGCCACATGGTTTGTATTAGTGAGTTCATGAAAATAGTGTCAGGAGGTTTAAGATTTCAGAATGGCCAAAGTTCTGCTTTAGTATGGATCCATCTATATGCATATGTGTCTCTCATCATTCTTTCCTTGGTAAAGTTTGTTTTATTTTATTTTTTTTAACTTGATAAATGCTGTTCTTTCTACTTACTTCCCAGCTTAGGAATAAAAAGTAAATTTTACAATGCTATGAAAAATTCTTCACTTAAGTACTATCTTGTTATTTGTTTACGTTTCATCTGGAAGAATAATTAAAATTTCTTTATATACCGTGTATCTAACATGATAGGTAAAATGTTTTTAAGAGCTTTACTAGAATGTGATAAAGCTTACACTTAACCTTTTTTGCTGAAGATAGTTATGAAAATTAGATTTGAATTGCAAGAAAAACATAACTGATTTATTTCAGGCATAAAGGTGAAAGTGTGTTCTTATTTGTATGTTGTGGTGACCCCTGAGATACTATTTTATGTGGAATAAGCGATAATGATCCCAAACGACTAACTTCATGCAAGGATCGTCATTTCAATTTGTTGCGGTGTTTTATGGGGCAGTGATGGTTTCATCAAGCCATTAGTTAGAAGTCTTGCATGATAAAATCACCAACTAATGTCTCTTGGCTTGCCAGAACTTTATAATGATAGAACTGGGCTGGAGTATGGTTTTTACATCAGAGCATATAATCTTAGAAAAATGTTTCTTTTATAACTTAAAACTCCCTCAGGGCTGGACTGTTTATGTTAACATGATACTACATATATGTACAATCAGCAGTTCATGAAATGCCCTGTAACAGCAATGGGCTAACCATTATTTTTAACTCTACAACTGCTTTATTCTGAGAGAAGGAAAATAGCCCAACCATTATTTTTAACTCTACAACTGCTTTATTCTGAGAGAAGGAAAATAGCCCTTGGTCTTCTCATAATTACGTGCCATCAATTAGACATTATCTTTGGGATATTGCTTTAGAAGATATAGTATCTGTTAGAGGGTATTCATCTGTCTGTAATACAGAAAACAATCTGAACTTGTTTAAACAATAAGAACATTTGTTATATTACCTAAGAGGAAGAGGTTGAGTAGGCCCCAAGGTTGGCTGATTCAGGAACTGAGCAGTATCTGCAAGGACCTATGGTTCATCCTTTTCTGCTCTCTGCTGCTCTTGATATTGATACCACTCTCAGAGAACTAGTGACAAGATGGCAATAGCTGTTGGGGTCACATCTGCACCCAACAACATACTTAGGAAGAAGAAGAACTATTACTGCCTCGGTCCCTTTCTAAGCTTCAAGGAAATCATTCCAGAAGCACCTCAGCCGACTACCCCTTGTATCTCATAGGCCAAAATTGGGTCACTTGACCAACTCTAAACCAATCACTGACAAGGAGGATATAATTAACTTGATAACCTAGAGGAATCAAGGTCTACTTCTGGAACTGGAACCTGAATAAAAGAGGGATTTGTTAGGAAAAAAGGAGGGGGTAATGGGTGCTGGGTTGCCAACCAATAGTGCTAATTATCTTCAAGTAGAGTCACATCTTATGTGGGAGATGAAATTCTAAAGTTGGCACATAAAAAGAAGAATCACATATACTCAAAATTACCTTTGAAAATCCTTGTCTTAGGCTGGGTTCTCTAGAGGAGCAAGACCAGTGAAGCACGTATATATATATATATATATAGAGAGAGAGAGAGAGCGATTTATATCAAGGGAATAGCTCACGTGGTTGTAGAGGCTAGAAAGTCCCGAGTCCGTGGATCAGGCTGGAGGCTTCTCCTGACTCATGTAGCTGCAGGGGCTGACAGACCCAAGATCAGCAGCTAAGCTGGCAGGCCACTATCTCACAGGCTGCAGAGGCTAACAAATCCCAAGATTGGCAGGTGAGCTGCTAGCTTAAGTTCCAAGAACTGGAGGTCAGGTGAACAGGAGCCAGTTGTAGGACCCAGAGCAAGCAAAAGCCCACGAGCTTTGCTAGAAGGTCCACATATATTGGATGCAGGCCATATCCTCAGGAAACTCCCTTTCAACTGATTGGCTGCTCATAGCAAATCTCATTATGGAAGTGATTACATCATTACATAGCTGCCAAACTACATCATAACTGTCAAACTACTGAGAATCATGGTCCAGCGAAGTTGACACACAACCTTAACCATCACAATCCCTTAAAACTACATAATTTTATTTTTATTTATTTTTTATTGTACTTCAGGTGAAGGCTTACAGAACAAATAGTTTCTCATGAAAC